TAATGATGATGATAATAATGATGATGATGATAATGATGATAATGATGATGATAATAATGATGATAATAATAATAATGATAATAATAATAATAATAATGATGATAATAATAATAATAATAATAGAATATTAAAAATAAATAAATTAATAAACCGCGTTGCAGTAGGAAAAACGAGGCATACGTGTGATGATGTAAGTGATGAGAAAAATCTGAAAACAAAAAGAATAAGTAATGACTAATGAGAAGATAGCAACTGGCAAAACAATAGGGATCTCACAATCATTGCCACGTATGAAAATTAATCAAGAGACAAAGCAACCAAACCAATACATACATACATACATACGCTTTGTCCTATTCTTGTAATTTACTCGATCAATTAATTGCCTCTTCATCAGATTACCTACTTATCAAGCAACCCCGGCATCAAATATTTGCTAGATATCATATTCTATTGTTTTTCAATACACACATGAAACCAGTTCAATGCAAATCCACACGTTGGATACATTTTGTCAACGCTTTTGACATTACATTTTCTCTCTCTTAAAACCCCCAAATTTCACACACATCCATTATCATTTTCACCAATTTGAGCAATTGAAGAACAAAAAGAATTTAAAGAAGAAAAAATGAAGCTAGTTTGGTCCCCGGAAACCGCCTCAAAAGCCTACATTGATACCGTAAAATCGGTTAGTATATAATTTTATTCATAACTAAAATTGAAAAAAGGGCACTTCCAATAATAATTCATTGAATTTTCATGATATGTAATATATGTATATATGTGCAGTGTGAGCTTTTACATGGATCGAGTGTAGCGGAGCTTATTTCAGCGATGGCGGCCGGATGGAACGCGGAAGTAATAGTCGAGACGTGGGCCCGGGGCGGTGCTATCCTAGTCAGCATCGGGCTAGCGGTAGCCGCCCACCACACGAAAGGAAGACACATCTGCATAGTACCCGATGAAGAATCGAGGGCGGAGTATGTGGAAGCCATGAGCCAATCGGGGCAGTCGGATTACGAGATGCTAGTGGGTGAGCCGGAAGAAGTTATCGAAGGATTACAAGGGATTGATTTTCTGGTTGTGGATTGTGGTGGGGATAATGATTTTGCGAGAATTATAAGGGCAGCTGACTTGGGCCGTAGAGGGGCGGTTTTGGTGTGCAAGAACGCCGCTGCCGCCTCGAGGGCGGCCTATGGTGGTGGTTTCAGGTGGCGGAGCGTGCTTGAAGGGAAGTCGAGGATTGTGCGGTCGGTGTTTCTTCCGGTGGGGGATGGTTTGGATGTTGCTCATGTTGGAGCGGTAGGTGGGAACTCCGGCGAAGCGAAGAGGGAGAGCAGGTGGATCAAACGGATTGATCGGCACTCCGGTGAAGAATTCGTCATCGAAAATGAACTATCTTGTTTGTAGATATGGTTTTGGATTTGACTTTTAGATGTATTATAAATTTTGCTTTTTTCTTCATTTTTTCATTGTATAGAGATCACTTTTTTTTGGTGTGTGTGTGTGTCGTGCGTGTTTATATGTGTATTGTTCGAAGCTTTTTGCAAGTGCATTTGATATAGAGGTGTAAACGAATTGAGCCAAACCCGAACGCATAATTGTTCAACCTTATTTGAATTTTTTTTTATCACGATTTGCATGATTTAACTTGATTTGATAAACAATTCAGTCGAGTTCCAACTAACCGAGCTTTAAACGAACCGAGCACGAATGGAACTCAGGTATTCTGATTTTTTACGTATTTTACTGTTCTTTTCTTTTCTTTTTTCTAATTGAGTTCAAGCTCTAGCCAATCGAACGAAAATATATGTTCAAGCTTGCTTTCGTTATGTAGACAAAACGATCAAGCTGAAATAAATCTTTAGTGAACAATCTCGAATCGTGTATCGAATAATTCGCTTTGTTTTACAACCCTAATCTGGTATAAATAGTTTCATTTGCTATAACAAATATTCAAGCTAAGTTTGTACTCGTGACCTAACAACCAACGAATAATTTCAAATCGAGACTATTTTCAATTATTAAGTAGGCAACAAGCAAAAACTTCCCAAAATAGAAAAAAAAACATCTCGAGTAAGTTGCCAAGTCAAATAGACAATAACAAACCTAGTTTGTAAAAAGTTCTATGAGACAACTCGTTAACTGGTTTTAAACGCAGGAACATCAGAGACTAATGCTTTCGTGTTTAGTCCCAACCATCTCTGCTTCTTCGTACTGCTTTCTTTTGCGATAGGGCTTTCTTACTGTCCAATCTTTTATTCTCCGAAATTGCTGACCTATGAGGTCACAAAACAGAGACTCAATCCTTGACAACCTTGGCTCAAGGTTTTATCGTAAAAATGAAGGCAAATTACGGCCACCCCCTGATGTATGCTCAAATTACGAAAAAAACCCTTACGTTTGGGTAATTACAACCACTGCTCAACAATATATTGTCTTACACGTCCACCCTTACTGTGTCAAATTTACCTACTGAAGGAGGGGTTGTTTTATAAGACAATACATATTTGAGGTGGGTGGTTTTAATTATCCAAACAGGAGGGGGCTTTTCGTAATTTGAGCTTACCTAGGGGGGCTGGCCGTAATTTGTCTAGTAATGATTATTGAATCACAAGGTAGTGTGTGTGTGTGTGTGTGTGTGTGTGTGTGTGTGTGTGTGTGTGTGTGATGTAGACGACAAAAGTTAGCATGTAATGTGATAATTAACGAGTTTTCTTACAACTTGGCAATCTTTTTAACAGTCTCTGCTGAAGGAGGTGGAGGGACATACGACGCAGCATCGATGATTGCCTGGTTAATTCATTAACAAAAAAAATGATCAAAATTGCTCAAAACAAAATAAATTGTTCATGGCATTCCTACGAGAGATGATGGTAGAGCCCACATGTTTTCTAGCCACATAGAAACTATTAACACAGAAATGCATTTTAATTATCCACATGTACCTGTAATTTCTTTTTTTGGTAAGTGAATACCTGTAATTTTGCCAGTGCGTCATCGACGTTACCCCTGAAGACAACAAGACGTAAAGAATTATCGGTCTAGAACAATGGAAAACTGAATCGCAATAGAAGAAGTAGTGGGCCGGTCGGTGCTTACTTTTGAGTTCTAGTCTTTGTTGAAGAAATCACGATTTCGCCATCTCTGTTGATCCGGTTCTTCTCCTGCCAGTGATTTCACAAGTTATTAAGTTAAAAATGACTCTACGACTCGGATAAACTACACTGCAAATATTACATACAGAGACCGGCTTACACATATAAAGAGTCATGCAATCGTGCTAAGAACTTAGTTGCATATTCGAACTATAGTAAACACAAAACCATGATAGGAATCTCCGAAATTGTTTCTCCATAATTTTGACGTTAAGAAATGCTAACATTAATATTTTCAAAGAAAGATTAAACAATTAAACTAAGATACAATGCAACATGGACACAAGCTAAGTATCTCCCAATGGGAAATTTACAGTTTTCATCCCTCAAGTTTGCAACGATTTCACATTTGGTCCCCCATATTCATAAGAAAACACATTCGGTCCCTTATGTTTCAATAATTTGACACTTTTGGTCATTTCCGTCAGTTACAGTAGTGATGGGAATACGTTTGATTCCGTTAGTTTTAACGGAAAATTGACGGAAAGGACTAGAAGTGTTGAATTTTTGAAACATGGGGAACCAACTGTGTTTTTTGTGAACATGGGTGAAATTGGAGCAAACTTGAGGATGAATACTGTATTTTTCTCATCTCCCAATATTTATATGTTGTGCGATACGGTCTGGATACAATTGTGAGTGTGTGTGTGTGTGTAACAAATCAATATTTGATAACAAATCAATGATAGTTGGAGGATAAGCAAAGAAGAATAATATTTAAAATGATTTAAAGGAGATAACAGAAATACAATCCAGAAGGTATTATCGAAATCAAGAGCACGAAGAATACATAAATTTCTTAGTACATTGAATACAATACCTTATAGTTACAAGGTTATCACTTGGAAGCACAGAACACCTTGTTCTACAGTGTTACCTTATAACTAGTTATACAAGTCCTTAGCCTAGTCCAAGAAATAATGCAATCTGTCCACTAGCATGGTTTCAAGATACCAGTTTCAGATAAGAAAGCCATTTGTTCCTTCTTACGGTTTTATTTATAATTCCAAAAACTCCATCGCCATTGGAAAATAGTAGATGGAGTCTAGTTTCAAGTTTCGACCAGAGCAAACAATTAAGCAAGGAAAATAGAAATTTAAGAAAACATTATCTCACCATTTGCATGATTCGCTCTCTCACTCTTTCGTTTAACCAATCGGCATTTTTTACATTAAACCGCATGTCCACCTTGGTGTTTACTGCATGACCAAAATATCAACAGTCAAACACATAAGATCAATTAAACGAACATGTCAATATGGGGGGGGGGAGGGGGGGGGGAGGGGGGGGTGCACAACGAGGCACCACATACCTTTGTTGACATTCTGGCCCCCAGGCCCACCACTCCTTGCATAGCCTATGGTAACATGTTCTGCACACGCAAAACATAAGTTGATAAACGGTCTGTGTTCATTTATTTCTAAGCTAAAAAAGAAACAAAAGTCAATAAAAGTTCAAGAATAAAACCGCGAAATAGCATCTACGTTTTAGATAGTTTTCAGAGAGTCCAAGGAATCATTCCATAAATAATGAGTTTTGCAGGAGTCAACACGATTGCCAAGTCGCAGAGCTCCACTTATATATTACTAACAGTTGTTTATACAAAAATAAGAAAACCGATCTTCATTCTAACGGTCCAATAATGTATGAAGAGAAACTTCGAGGATCTGAGATTTTTAAATGGGATGACAAGAAGAAGAAGAAAGGAAAATTACAGATTAACCAAGTCAAGGAGGCAAGATGTAACGTGTAATCCTTAATGTTAATCACCTCAACCGATGAAATAAGGAATAAGTAAATCGATGATGTTTTAACAACCAACGATATCATTCATGAAGGGTTTAGATCATAAAGAGCAGTAGAAAAACAGCAGACTGAACGAGGACCAATCGAGTCGATTAGCTTCTACTGTAAATTGTTGTCTATTTCATAAATCACTACAAATATGATTTCAGAAGCCGCACCTTTTTTAACACACCCTAATGAAATTAAAACGATGGCCGATTCTTATGAAGAGAATTAACTGGATAGTGTATACACATAAAAAGTGGTTCAATCGAACTTTTAGTGCTACCAATCATCAACAATCAAAATCTAATTCAATATAGTGTCCAAACAACTGAAATCGGAATCGAAAAATAATTATTAAACACGTCAAATTAAAAAATAATTTCAAAAAATAAATTGAATTTACCTAGCGTTATTTTGGGAATCGGCTCGACACCACCTCCAGCAGCTTTGTAGCGCTCCTCGGCTTGATACAAGAGCCGCTGAACCTCCGCAAGCCGAGCCGGAGACTTCTTCTCCTGGCCGCCGGATTTAGTCGCCGCGCACCGGAAAGCACCAAAACCGGTGACCGGCGGCAGATTCGTCCGGAATAAACGGAGGGGTATTTGGGGATGAAGTGTGGGTCGGAATACCGAGCGAGCGAGCATCATTGTACTACCTGTGAACTTCATAGCTGCCATTTCCGAATCTTCGATTAATTTACAA